TTCTACAAGGCAGGCTTCAGGGACTGGCTCTTCCGCAATCTCCTTCCGATTCTTCAGCCACTCGAAACTAGTAAGCCACTTGGGACCATTCCACCATAGCACACTGGTCTCCAACTCACGACTGTCTACATCCCTAGAGAGTAGGTCAGCTGGGTTGTTGGCCCCTGGAAAATGTTTCCAGCATTCTTCAGGTACAAGCTTTCTTATCTCTTCAACACAGTGCTGAACAAATGGTTTCCACCCCTTCTGGCTGTGAACTATTCAATACCAGGCTATCTTGGAATCAGTCCCACACAAAAATTTGTCAACCTTCATCTCAGAACTAAGTGCTTCCTTTATGCTATGGATCAGTCTGGACAGGACTACCGCTGATAGCAGTTCTAGACGCGGTATGGTCTGCTCTGAGAGGGGTGCCAATCGTGTTTTTGAAGACACAAATCTGACTCAACTTGCACACGTCGTCAGGATACGCAGAAAGACCACTGCACCGTATGCCATGGCTGATGCATAACAAAACCCATGCAGTTCACTCGCAATCACTTCCCCTTCCGTTCCAGCATAATAACATTTCGGGAGAGTAAGAGGTTTAACACCTTGCAATTGGGTCACCAATGTCATTGTATCTCGTTAAAACTTGACTATAAACAGCCTTTCTAAATGAGGTTAACACATGTTCCTTTCTTAAGGGTAATAGGCAGAGAGTTCCAGAGCCTGGTCGCGGACACGCTAAAAGTTCTCCCTTCCTCAGATTCACGATTATATCTGGGGCGGATGAGGTTTTAAGGCACTATAGCGCCCACTGCGTGTGTGTAAATCTGCATTGCATTTAAGAAGGTCGTACATGTAGCTGGGGCAGTTTCCTTGTAGGCGCTTAAGGACTAGCAAACACTTATTAACTTTAGCTTCGTCATAAAATGGGAGCCACCCTAATTTGTTAAAGAGATTTACGCTATTTGATCTTTTGTCAGCTCCAGAAATTACTCGGGCAGCACCTTTTTGCAGCTTGAGGATTCTCGTTAACTTATCAGCTGTTTGACCAAATAGTTGATCCATACAGCATTACTTGATTGATCATAGCATTGTAGTAAAGTATGGGCTGTTTCATAGGGATGAATCTCCTTATCTTTCTAAGAACCGCTATTCTCTGGGATAACTTCTTGCACAGTTCCTCAAAGTGTACATCAAAGCTTAAGGGTTTGTCAATAGTAGCCCCTAAGAGTTTCTGACTATCAACCTGTTCTATGTCAGAGTCAACAAGTTTGAGTTCCAGTGAACAATTGTCAAGCTTGCATGGCATACGTTTCCCTGTAACAAGGAGATATTTCGTCTTTGCAGCGCTTGTAACCATTGGCAGCCGACCACCGTGAGACGTCATCTAAGTCCTGCTGAAGGGCTGATGACATGGCAGTAAGTCCATTAGTCATGTCTGATGATAAACTGAGAGTAGTGTCATCCGCGTAGATGTCTACAGTAAAATGCTGTGCCGCCCATGGCAGATCGTTAATAAAGAAGAGAAACAAAATGGGGCCCAAAATGCTCCCTTGCGGTACTCTAGCCGACACAGTTCTTGGGGAGGCATGACAGCCATTGATGTGTACATATTGTGTGCGACCACTAAGATATCTGCGTAGTAAGTCCAGCTCGTTATCACGTACCCCATAGGCTTTCAATTTCTCTAAGAGCAGACCGTGGTCTATGACGTCAAAAGCCTTTTTATAGTCAATAAAGTCAATAAACACAAGCCCCGATGCTCTGTTCCTGTCCAAGTCAAGAGCAGATGATCGACTAGGCGGATAAGGGCGGTCTCGGTAGAGTGAAATTTGCGGAAGCCAGACTGAAACCTATGTAGCAGAGAGTTTTCCTCAAGGAAGTCGCAAAGGTGATCACAAATGTGCTTCTCGAGTAGCTTGGAAAGTATAGGAAACACGGTTATTGGCCGATAGTTTCTCGGTTTCCTTGCCCCTTATAAATGGGAGTCACTTTACCAACTCTCCACTTTGTGGGATAGGTTTGTTTGTCGATGAAGAAGTTGATCAGCTAACACAGGGAATCAGCGATAGCAGGTGCGGCAATTCTCGGCAATTTGGCACTCACTCCGTCGTTGCCTGTAGCTTTGTACACTGGGATAGAAAGAAGGAGATTAACAACTTTGCCCTTGGATATTTGTGGAATATTAAGTGTTCCAGAGACCTGGGATAGGGGAGACAGAGGAGGGGGCCTGGCCCCAGTGGACGAGTCGTTGTTATGCCCGATCTGAGAAGTCAGATTTTTCTGCTGGTCGACGAAAAAGCAATTCAAAGTCTCAGCAAAATCACCTTTGTTAGTAATGATTTCACTGTCGTCGGCTAATTGCTGCAACTCGTGTTCCGGGCCGTCGTTACTTGACAGGCATTTAATCAGATTCCATAGTTTCCGTGAATTATGCTTGTTTTCTGTGAATTTGGGCTTAAAGCATGTTTGCTTTGTTTGCCTAATTAAGTTAGTCACGTAATTTTTCATTCGTCTGTAATTAAGCCAGTCGTGGTCGGAACCGTTTTTCTTGGCTTTAGTGAGAAGTTTATCGCGCTCCTTGAATCCGTCGACGATGTGGCTATTGAACCATTTAGGTTGGGACTCACGCTTCACTCGCTTGTGTTTAAGAGGAAGGAATCTATCGACTACGCCTTGGAAAATATCGTACCAGGCATCAACAACGTCATCAGGATCATCAAAAATAAACGCAGAATTCCAAGGCGCCTCTTTCAATGCAGCAATAAACTGTTCTTTATTAACATTCTTGATGTCACGGTATGTGATTGTCGTATGCTCACTTTTATTTTGTTACACCCTCTTGTACTTTCTTGTCACAATGGTTGGTAGGTGATCTGACATACCAGTTGATAAGACCCGCACGTTTATTAACCGCTCAGGGTGACTACTCCAGACATGATCCAGGCAGGGTTTGGACGGGTAATTTTTTGTCGGGTAATTTCCATTACAAGTTGTGACATATTCAAATTTTGCAGCGTTTTTGTGAATGGATGTTTCTGAAATTTCATGGTGCATAGGAAATCGATGTTGATATCTCCCAATAAATTGGTCTCCTTGTTGAGAAGATGTACGTTCTCAATGTTTTCCCCGAGCCTCTTGTCATTTGCCACCCTAGACGAAGGAGGCCTGTAGACACCACCAATAAAAAGAGGGCGACGCGATTTGTAGGGGCAGACCTCTAGCCACAAGACTTCTAGGTCATCGGCTTCGAGGTCTTCCCGTCTCTTAGCCTGAAGAGAATTATTTACATTTAAGCAATAGAAAACGTTTTCCGTGTTTGCATAGCCTGATATAAACACGAGAGGGGTTGGGAGAATTCGAGACAGTTATGCAAACCCGAGACGAAGTCGAGGGTTTGCATAACTGTCGAACTGTGCAACTCATTCCAAACTTGCTGCCGACGGAGAGGTATAGCGTATTTTATGAGAGTTGTGTCTCTTTATACTTGTCACACTTGTTTATGTCCTCTGAGGCGCAAAAATCAGCGCCGAAGAAGCTCGCAATCGGACCGCGGCCGTGGTCGGTAGTCGGTGGAAACTTCATACATGATTCGCCATGGATCGCTGGTCAAAGATATGACGGGCTATGAGAACGCTCGGCTTTTTCCATTTCCAAATGAAAAAGAAGATGGTTGATAACGGCCTGGCATTCTCATAGCTTTCTATTTTTTAACGGACCTCCACGATCTCGATTTTTGTGTTAAGTAAAGGAAAAGACGATTAGACGGCCGGTCGTTCTCACAGGTTTTTTATTTTATTTTCGATTTCAATTTTTTTTATGAGAACGGTCGGTCGTTCTCATTGTTTATGATTTTAGAGTTGCAATGTTTATAAAGGGCTTACTTTTTTTGTTTTGTTTTTTCGTCGTTTTTATTATTTTTGTTTTGTTTTTCGTCTTTTTTTTTTTTAGTTTTATATGTTTTTCCGTCTTTTGTATTTTTGTTGTTTTCTAAAGTACGTTTATTGTTATTTTTATTTTCTTGGCCCCTTTTTTGCTTGATTTTTTAGTTTTTAAAATATTTATTCTACGGTTATTTACATTTTGCTGACATTGATATATATTTTTCTCATATTTTTTAAGGAAAAAATATTTCTCTTCTTTTTCGCGAAATCGCAACACAAAATCTGGCCATCTTTTTTGTGAGAATGCTCGGCCACCATACTGCTGAATACCTGAACGCGAACCGCACAGTTTGAGTGGGTTAAAGATTGGATTATAGTCATTAGTAGCGAAAAAGGTTATGGTTTGCTTTCCTATGTCTGTCATGTTATTACTTTTATATTTCATTGCTTTAATCTATCACAAGTATAGAAACGGAGGCTTTGCTTTTAGCCCTGGCTAATCAAATCTATATATTATTTAGGATTCACTGATCTAACTGGATAATTTTGATTAAAAGTGAAATTATTAACTCTTAAAATTGTCATTTATTTTTCGAACTATTGGTATTGCAGGGCTCAAAATAATGTTTGGTCAATGGAAAATGTCTGGCCCAAATGGCAACTTGTCTGTTGCCAGTCATGTTGACCGGTCACGCACACTCTCATTCTTAAACTAACAGCCAAATCCTCCCCTGTAAAACTATAAATATTTGTGTCTTTAGATATCTTTTGACCAACATCGTTCGCTGGGTCTTTCCTTCTCGTCGGGAACGAGATAGCTCACTGACAGGAATACTTGCCGGGGTCGTGACACGTTCCTGCATGTGACATCATTAACTGAGTGCTGAGTTTGTTTTGTAAGGGAATACCATAACATTTCACTTTCACCAGTGTATGGTAAACTTTTTCGTCTTTTTTTCAGCGTCTCCAAACCTTAGCTGCTTTAACGGAAGCTTTTTCTTTTCAGTAAGGAAACCGCTGTTTTCTCACTGATTGTTGTCGTTTTTATCACAATTACAGCCATGCTCCGGCTTTGCATATGTCTCGCTTAACCCTGTTGCGCATTCGCCATTTTCAGAGGCTCCTCCC